GAGACTCGACACAAGGGTGTTTCCTCTTTAACCTAGTATCTGGCTCCTTGTCAGAGCAAAACCTTTACATTTTAAATATACAGAGGGATGATGGAGTGTAAACCTTAACCAGCAAAAATACTTCATTTTGTTGTCGTATGTCGTTAAGTGCCATCAAGTTGGTTCCAGCTCGCAGTGACCCCACGTACAGCAGAAAGAAACATGTACAACGCTGGTTGCCTGTTGTTGCAACCACGTCAGTCCGTCGCATTAAGGTCCTCCTCTTTTTCCCTGGCCCTATACCAAGCGTAATGTCCTTCTCAGGAACTCATCTCCCCTGAAAACAGGTAAAATTGAGATGCAGTTTTGCCCTCCTAGTGACCTTGTTTACAGCAGAACAAACCACTGCCAGACTTAGACCCCCTGTAGCCTTGGTGCTGCTATGGTCTGAGCCCATTCTTGCAATCACTGTGTCAGTCAGTCTCACTGAAGGTCTTCCACTTTTTCACCAACCCTCTAGTTCACTAAGCATGATGTACTTTAGGGACTAGTCCCTCTTGGTAACATGTCCAAAGTATACAAGATGAAATCTTGTAATACCTACTTCTAAGGAGCCTTCTGTCTTATCTGTAGCAGCTGTCCTTAAATGCTTGCTTAGGTTCTGAACCCTGGAATAATCCTGTTGTTATGGCAGGCTGCTATGTACGCAGTGCAATAAGTCGTTCTCTCTCTTTGAAAAGTTAGTGGCTCAATAATAGTGTTTAAGCATAAATGTACGTGGCAAATATGGAGTTCTCTTAATTTTATGTTTTTGAGCATGGGCATTGGCCATAATGAAGCTTGCAATAAATAACTCTCCTTAAAACTTCAGGAGAGCAGAACTAGAAGCGGCTGTGAGAAAGAAGATTGAGTTTGAGAGAAGAGCTCTACATCTCGTGGAACAGCTTTTAGAAGAGAATATTACAGAAGATTTCCTAATAGAATGTGTATGTATTAAGTTGGCAAATTATTTTGTAGCGTAAGAGCTTTAAATCTATAATTTGAAACTTCTTTGTACTATTGGAACCTTGGAATCTGTTGTCATCACTATATGCCAGCAACGTACCGTAAATACTCAAGTATAAGCTGACCCAAATATCAGTCGTGGCACTTAATTTTACCACAAAAACTGCATTAAAAATGTGCTGAAAAACTTGACTTATGCTTGAGCATATACGGTATGTTTGAAAATACTCAACTATTGCTTTATTACCTTAAAATGTACACATGGAAAGACTATATTTTCAGGGATTATTTCTACAGTTCAGTACTAGAAAAGTTTC